ATGATTAGCAAAATATTAAATTTACGCTAAGAGAAAAACATATTATTGAACTCGTATTTCAAAGGTTTCCCAATGCATAGTTTTTATGACATATAGTTTTTTTATTAATTCAATTTATGGTCAAAGTTTAACCCAAAATACGATGGTGCATAATAAACCTGAACGAAGGAAGTAGCTCGTTAAGAATTGTTTTTTTTTCAAAAAACAATTATTTTATTTTATATCTGTGAAATATTTTCCTTTCAAAAAAATGAAGAACTGGCTCAAAATTGAACATGGAACTAGGAGAGGGTTCCATGTCGTGAACCATTCTTTTTAGAAATTCTCATTGCATATTTTTAAAAGCGTTCACGTATTTTAGTCATCTATATGATTATCTTTTTAAGAAAACAAGAACTTCACTGGATATATGTAAACTTTTTAAAAGACATGGTATATTGTTTGTATAGATGGTTTATTTTTTGAAATGCACAATGACCATGTGCCCAATGAGCACTTTTAAATATGAGATGCATATTTAAAAAAAATACATGAAGATCATTTCTATGTATGAAAGCATTTTTTACATTTTCTGCCATATTAGTTTTTATATTTTGAAAAACTGATTGAAATTTATTAAAATCTATGTATTAGTAATTCTTAAAAATGATAAGAAAAATAAAACTGCTCAAAATCGGACATGGGCCTAACCAAGGTGCGCCCTAGCATAAGATTGCTCCTGATTCTTATTATATTATTGTCTTAATAATAAGAAAATGCGAGCATCGGTGTCTAGTCTGGGACTTGAATTTTGATGGGCTGGGATACACTGTCTTCCTAGCCATCCAACCAGGTTGGTTCGCAAGCTATTGCTCCATTATTCCACGTGTTACGAATGAAATATGACGGCTCACGTTTCATGCCTAGGACACCAGGGCAATAGCTCCTATTTAACGCCTTGTGCACCAAATAGCTCCTATAACGCCTATGGTGCACCTATATGGGCTAGTGTATTGCAGTTTTTATTTAATATATATTGCAGAAGAAAAATGTATTTAAATATATTAAAAAATCAATTAATACACAGAAAAGTGCAAAAGTGTTACTGTACCTCAGTATAAATGTTCTTTTATACAAAAAGTGTTCATTTTATGTGAATCTTCTAGGCTCATCATAAGAAACACGTCATGGATAAATGGTTGTTTCTGAGAGTCATGTCACATTAGTTCTGTGAATCATCCTACATCAGTTTCACAAGTTGCATAACACAACCCGCAACAAAAAGAAAAAAAAACACAAGCTGCATAGCAGAAGCAATCACAAACTGGAACATCACACCAGCTTTGTAGGCCAAATAAAAGCATCACAATGGTGCAGATTTAATATCTTAATAATTACTTCCTCCGACCTAAATTACTTGTCATAAAAATGCATAGAAATAGATATACCTAGAATTAAAAATATGTCTAGATGCTTTCATTTCTGTGGCAAGTAATTCCAGACGAAGAGAGTATAACCTGGCACTTAACGCAACCACCAAAAAGGACGTAAATCTCTGCACATGCATGCACATATGCCATGTGTACATTGTGTACTGCTGTGTGTGTTTGAGTGTTCTGCATTGTTGCCTTGCAGATTGCTGCGCTAGAACCAAACAAAGACACCTTTCATGCCATCCTTCCATGCTGGTTTTAATTAAAGTTTAGTACCATCCTGAAAGTTTAAGTGTGAGACCTCATTATATACTGAGTTCTCATCATTACTCTAACTGGTGCGTTGAGGATAGAAATAGAAGACCACACCTGCGCACTCGCTCACCTTGCTTGGCCGGGCTCGGGCAGGGCTGGGCTGGGGCGGCGCGACATGCACATGAACTGTCCGCCGAAATCCTGTCTGTTACCTTGCACGTTTATATTTTGGTGTCTTGACAGACAAATTAATTATTTCTTGTCCGGTAAGTAGATGACTTAGAATCCAAATCAATTTGAGATCGTGATCACGACACGATACCGCCTCTTGTCCTGTTATATATACTGCCACCGGCCAAGGCCAAAGATACCTAAAAACGACTAGGGTTTTGCCTCTTCTCGCCAAGGTCCACTGGCTTGCTGTCGTGGGCCTTCTTTGACGTACGATGTTGTTATTGCTCCTGCGCCGGGTCGCACGACGCTAGGCCGATTGTACGGCAGATGCAAAGCACTTGATGGCTTGACCTGCATTCCGGGGCCTTCCATTCCTCGTTTGATATTTTATTAGGGCCTAGCGTGCTTTCGATAGTACTCATGTCATACAATCTTTTAAACCCCTGAACGGCTTGTTGTACTATTACTATGTCGTGTCAAGCATAAGCTATGGAACAAAAATGAATTGTTGCATCATGATCATTTGCCTTTTTAAAGCAAAAGAATCCCGCTTCGATACAACCCCCTTACAAAACGTATAAAGGGTAATATGGACTTTTGACAATTTGTATCCATTTTTAGTTGTCCACAACCACTACAACAGTAAACCTTTAGTGAACAAAGTAAAGCTAGACACATT